AGGGTGGGACCAAAAAAAGCCATAAATTCACCCCATATTTCAGGGACATACTTGTACCCCCTATGGGAAGTACCTGGGATAGGAGGCAGTCTTCTGAGTACATGCCCCCTTTTCCATGTCTGATTTGGGGCACTGCAAAGAAAGGCCTAGGGAGTCTGTAAATTGTTGTTGCTATGTGCCGTTGAGTCAGTTATGACTCACAGCGACCCTGTATAGAGAGTGTGGCTGGAGTCCTGGTATGGCACTGTGGGTTAATGTGCTGGACTTCAAGGTCAGTTTGAACCTCAAGGTCAGCAGTTTAAGCTCACCAACCGCTCTTCAGAATCTCTATACAGGATGACTATGAGTTGGAACTGACTTAGCAGCAATAGCATAGGGAGTATGTAAATAGATTCTGAGAAATTTAGAGCTGGATTCCAAAAACTGTCCTTTAGATTCTATGTTTCCTGGAGGGACGTGGAAACAATATAGACCTTGTGTTGCTCCATTCGAAATTTGAACACCAGCTGGTTACTTCATGATGTTAAAAAATCCCTGTTAACTTTTTTAGACAAAATAATTTCATTTTGGTTATGCTTTCTAAAATATTCCTTATCTTTCTAATTAATATAATAAAATACTTACAAATAAAAAGCTATAACTTAGGACATTTCCTTCAAAATAATATACTAAGAGGCTAGTGACCAGGCATAGATGAAATAAGATTTATTATGAGTTGACAATTATTGCTGAAGGGATTCATTATACCATACTCGGTATACGTTTGAAATTCTCCATAATAGAAGGGTTTTGTTTTTCTTTTTCAAAACTGAGGCCATTCTACAGTTGCAATGGATTTTTATTTTTAATTTAACTTATTCTTTGACTTTTAAAAATGATTAGTTACAAATTTATAGTCATGACAAGATGCTGAATTTAAAGAAGCTATTATTATAATAATGTAATAATTTTAATAGCATTAAATTTTTCATGTGCCTTAAGAAAACTTCACAGTTTTCCACCTTCATTATTTCTTTCTTTTACATGTTTTAAGCACCTTAATTTCATTATTTGGTTTTTTTTTTAAGATGATATTGAGGGTTTTGACAAATGCAAACTCCTAGTAAGTTGTGTGTTAGGAAGAAGAGGAACATGTACATCCAAAACAGTCAATTTAGACAAAGTTAAAGAAATTACTCAGGGGAAAGAGGAAAATCCTTCACCCTTCTTGACTGAGGAATTCAGAAAGTATACGAATGTGAACCTAGATTTGGATACAGAGCAGGTGGTGGCCTGAGTATGCATTTCTTGACTCAGGCCTACGTAGATATTAGAAGAAAATTGAGGAAGGTAAAAGTGGGACCTAACACTCAATTATACTGACTAATGGAGGAGGTTAAGAAGGTTTTTAATGACCATGATAAAACTGTGTAGAACTGAGTAGACAGGAAAATTGAGAAACAAAGTTAACTGCTGGTAATCACTTTAGGATGTCCAGCCAATTTTACCTCCCTCCAGTCTCGTTGAAACCCCTTTAACTATAGTGACAGAAGAAGACAACAGACATCAGAGGCCTCTGTTAGCAGGTAATCTTGGCTCTAACTGACACCACAATAGTGGGCAGATGGGACACTGGCACCGGAAATTTCTGGAATGTCCTATAACAGGACGCAACTTTGACTCTCACTGGCTAAAGACGTTAGCCCCCATGATAGCACAGGTCCATACCCCTTTGGATGAGGGAGACCTGCACTGATGGTGCCCAGAAGAACTTCATCATCACCACTCAGATGTCTGTTGAAGTGGAAAGTAAGATTACTTTTTTTAATGTTAGACACTGGAGCAATTTCTCTATCTTGCTAGCCTTACTTGGAACCTTGTCCTCCACTGCCTGCAGAGTTATGGGAGTAGAAGGAAAACTCCAGTTAAAACCTTTGAGTAAGCCATTATTATGCCGTTTCCAAGGTAAATACTTTCTGCATGCTTTTGTTTATATGCCTGAGTGTACAAAACTCCTGATAGAAATATCCTTTTCAAATTAAGGGTCCTAATCTCTAAAACAAGAGCACACTACCTAGGATTTGTGCTGTTCCAAGTAACTAGAGATGTGACCCCAGAAAAAAAGGAAGTAACTACTAGAGTGAGAGTCCCCTCAACTAAGAGACAATTGAGAAAGTTTCTGGGAATGATTGGGCTCTGTAGGATTTGAATCCCTAACTTTGATATTATTGTAAAACCATTATATGAGGCCCTAAAGGGAGAAGAGAAAAAACAATTAGTATGAATCTCTGAATATTAGGTTGTCATCAACAAACTGAAAACTCTCCTTGGGAAGATCCCAACACTGGAATTATCAAATTTAGAAAAATCTTTTAAGCTATCCATCCCCGAAAAACATGTGGGGGGGGCGGGAGGGTGTCACAAACAGTGTGCTCACTCAGAATTTTGGCCCTGAACAACAGCCTGCTACTTACTTCTCCAAATGATGAGATGAGGTAGCAAAAGGATAGCCCCTTGTCTAGGAGCAGTGGCAGCTATTGCACTTCTAGTTAAAGAAATCTCCAAGCTAACTTTGAGAGGCAAGGTAGAGGTTCTTACTCCTCATCAAATACTTATTGTCCTAGATGCTAAATGAAATGGTTAACTAACAGGAGGGCCAACACTATTTGTCCACTCCCCACCCAGGCATTGCTTTCCTATGTGTATACACAACAATCCTTGCAATATTTCTGTCCACATGCCATGGACTTCATTGCCACCCAATACCCAAGCACACATCTTATATATGGCCAGTGCACTCTAGGATACATAGTCCCCCAGCTATTCCTTTATAATTATGCCCTCCCCTCATCTCATGCTTGATACCAGCACAGCCTCCTAGACAACATCTTAACTTGGGACAGGAATATTTTTGAATCAGTAATCCCTTGGGCAGCGTGCATTGAGCATGAATTCATCATCTCCAACCTCACTGAAGAACTCGAACTTCTTTCTAATGAGATAGGAGGAGCCTTAAAAGAAATACAAGAGTCCCTGAACTCATTAGCTAATGTAGATTTAACCACAGAGTGCTTAACTATCTGCTTGCCTCTCGGGGCATCACCTGTGCCATCATAAATACCACCTTCTGTATGTGCATTATTAATTATTCAAAATTCAAGATGTGAGTCAATGAAATCCTTAACTGTGATTCTGAGACCTATGGGAAGCCAGTCCTGGAGTTTCTGGCTTTAGTTTCTGCTTTCTCCTATTCTTAACATTTTTAAAAATCTTCATATGCCTCTTACTATTCTGCCCTTGCTTCCTCAATCTATTTAATAGGTGTATTTCCTCTAGGTTGCAGGATCCTCACCTACAAATGCTGATCTTACAAGATTACCACCCTTCTACCATGCCTCTTCCTGGGAAATTTGCCCAGGGAGAGAGAAACTTCTACCATATAAGGCAGGTTGAAGACTCATATATATAATGACCTCCATCCCTTACAACCAAGATTTTTGGTTGCAAGTCTCTCTGGGGAGGGGGTAATGTTAGGGTAAGGAAACAAGAAGAAAAAATACTGAGAAAAATTACTGGCCTTTTGCAGATACAAAGGACAGGTGGGGTAGGATATATACAAGATAAGAAAGTATCTCCTTATATACCTACAGAACCCAGTGGGGCTTGTGAACTCTCCCTCCCTCCCTATTCAGCTACCCAGTGGGTGTTTTTAACCATCAGCTACCTGTTATCCTCCCCCTTAACCAGGTAGGTATAAATGCCACAGTCTATGGCACATCTCCCTTAGAGGGTTTCTTTTTCCATATTCTAATAAACCCCTTTTATTCTATATTTCATGACTTTCTAGTCTTCTGTAGCGCAACCTGACATCAACACTGAAGGATAAGCACTGGACTGCAAGGTTGGTTTGAATTGCCAAGTGGCAGTTTAAACTCGTCACCTGCTCCTAGGAAGCCCTATAAAGGGTCACTATGAGTCAGAACTGACTCAATGGCACTTAACAACAACAACAGTTCCAAGCAAGTGCTAAATCTAAACTGAAATGCTTCATATTTCTTAGATTGTTGTTGATCTACTACAGTTGACCCGAGAATGATAGAATTCATGTTTATAATTTCAAGAAACAAATCCAGTTATTCCTAAAATATCTTTCATTTGTGAGGCTAACTGAGCTGTCAACCATAACCAGGCAAAGTGCAAGACATAAGTTGTAAGAAAGATGGTGGCTGCCCCATCCTTAAACACCAACAACACTTCTGTGAGGAATAACGAAATGTTCTAAACCCAATGATTTTGGATGAAAACTTGACAGAAGTCAGTCACTGACCCAAGTTCTTGAGTTTGGTGTCATTGTCAGAGATTCTAAGACTGGCACCTAGATCACTTGAGAGATAAAAATCCTATGTAGGCCAAGACCTTTCCTCAAATTAATTCTTATTGGCAGACAATATCAACTTTCATCCTCCACAGTTATCAAATTGTTTCAAATCACCCACCACTACAGGAGACTGGGATGCTTTCTATTGCTGCATCTTTTAAAATTGTAGGGGAATTTGGTTCTGGAAATGGAGTTCTGTGTCCTTTCTTGATCTGTAATTTAATGAATTTCTGACTTTCAGAGCCTTTTCCTCATACTCTGTATAATTTCACGAGAGGTTTTACAACCCACAAAGAAATTATTTGCCACTAGAGAAAATAATGTTAGCATTATAGCCTGCATACTGAAGAGTGACCAGCCAGTGATGGGAAAACTGAGGGTTCACGGCTTCTCAAATTGTTGGAGAATGAAGGCCCAAGACCTGGTTTCAACTGCAATACCAAAGGCACAGAAGTTTTCTTACAGCTCAGAGTTTATTTTTAAGGTTACTTGGGCCAGTTGGTGTTTACATGCTTGACTTCTTGCAGATTGGGAGAGGGATGGCTTCTCTGCTGGTCACAACTGATGTCATGCTGAACCCTCTCTCATAGATTCCAGTTGTTATGACTGGGCCCCAGTACTATCAGATACACTAAACTTCAACTTATTTTGTATGAGGTGGAGGGATAATATTGTTTAAGATTTCAGCATAGTAGGGACCAAATACCTGATGATTATGATGTATCAGATTAACAAACTTCCATGCTAGTTCTGTCAACTCCCCCTTAATGAGGATAAGGCCTCCAGGAAAGTCTAGCAGAGACTCCTGCATACCACAAATAAAACAACGTTTGAAAAACAATCGAATTCGCTGATCTGTGAACAGGCAAAAATAGAAAAGGGGAGAAACAAAGAGGAGTCAGCAGAAATTCATGGTGTCTTTGTACTTTTTGAGATATTCACTAATCAAACTATTAAGTTAAAATTTAAAAAATAACTGAGATAATCACTAACCCACTCACTCATTTGGTTAAACCATATAAATGAGATTGTTTTATTTTGCTCTGCTTTGCTTTGTTTTCTTTTAGAGGTAGATCAAGCTCATAAAGAAAATGAACAATCAAAATTGGTGAACTAGTAAATTTCTTTGGGCCCTAGTGTGATGCTGTAGGATAAACACTGGACTACTAGCCACAAAGTTAGCAATTCAAACTCATCAGCCACTCTTGGAAACCATATACAGGGTCACTATGAGTAGGAATCAACTCAACAGCACACAGCGATAATAATAATAGTAAATTTCTGATATTCATAATATTGCTTTTTTTTGTGGCTAGAAGTGAGATCCTGGTGTGCAATTGATCTAATAAGAAGACTGATGTAATCATCCCAATCAGTTATAAGTGGATTAAGGTGGATGCAATACCCGTACTCAGGTCACAGCCCTAATCCGATATAAGGAGAGGTTCCTTGGCTGTGGCCTGCATCACCTTTTATATTATATGAAATAAAAGGAGAGAGAAGTTATCAGAAAAGGAGATACTGAAATACCACCAAAGAAAAAAACCAGAAGCAGAGCAGGTCTTTTAGACCCTAAGTCCCTGCACTGAGAAACTCCTAGACCCAGGGAAAGGTTGATCCTGAGAAACATGAAGATTTCCAATGAATACCCATCTCACAGATGTTGAAAGGAGACAGGGACCTTTCCCTAGATCCTAGAGTTGGCATCCTGGATTCAGACTTTTAGCCTCCTAAGCTAAGGAGCTCTGGTAGAGTAGTAGTTATGAATTGGGCTGCAAACCACAAGGTCAGCAGTTAAAAACTACCAGCTGTTCTATGGGAGAAAGATGAGGTGTTCTGCTCCCGTAAAGATTTACAAACTCGGAAACCCTATACAGGGTCTCTATGAGTTGGAACCGACTCCACGGCACACAGCCATCACAACCAAACTATAAGAAAATAAATTTCTATTTGTTAAAGCCATCCACTTGCAGTATTTCTGATTCAGCAGCACTAGATAACTAGGGCAGAATTTAGTATTGAGAGTGGGTGCTGTTTTAACAGATACCTAAAATGTGGAAGTAGTTTTGGGAACAGGTAATAAGTGGAGGCTGGAAGAGTTTTAAGTTGACTATTATTAAAAATCTGGAGTCATTGTGTGGCACTGGACCACAAGGTCAGTTTGAACCACAATGTCAGTGGTTCAAATTCATCAGTCATTCCTCGGAAACCCTATACAGGATCACGATGAGTCAGAACTGGCTCAACAGCACTTAACAACAACAACATTAGTAAAAGCTTAGATTGCCTTGAAGAGACTGTTGGTGGAATTGTGGGTGTCCAAGACAATTTTGGTGAGGGCTCAGGAGAAGAAGAGAGCTGTAACATTGGAGATGGCCGGACCAGCAAGAGGCAGGAGCAGAGAAATAGTGGTAGTGGAAACAGGAGACTAGAATACAGTGACATGAGAGTCACCCATGGAGTGAGAAAGTTGAGCACCTTTGGGCCAAGGCTTACTGGCTAAAGTGGGGTGCTTCTGGGCACATAACAGTAGAACTTTGCAACACTTGTCCAAGTAGGGGAGACATCAGACTGACCCAAGAGGCCTGATGAACTGAAGGGAAGATTGGACCAAGGAACCAGAAAGCTGAAGACAGAAGGAACACAAGAAGCAGAGCTGCCTCAGTCTCCAAGTATTGGGCATGGCCTCTGGGGTCTCAAAGGGTGGAATCACAGACTGCTGGGTATCAAAAGTTAGGACCAACTCTGTTCTGGAATGAGGAGCTGCCATTTATAAATGCCAAGGGATTAAGGCCAGAGCAATTGCCCAGAACTGAAGGGGCAGGGAAGAAAAACAGGAACTGTTGGGTGTTAGGAGGTGGGGTCACCACTCAGTTAGACTAGGAGACTGGGTCCACCAATAGCTGAGTGATGAGAGTTGCCATCCCAGTGGACCTGAAGGTAAAGTTGAAGCCCAGTGCCTAGAGGCCTCCACCCAGAATCTGTAGTGTAGGGCCATAGCCTATGATCTCAGAAGTCAGGATTCTTTTCAAGTCTTGAGAGTTAACATGCCTTATTCTGCTGGGTTTTGGACTAATTTGGTATTTTTTATGCTTTCTTTCCCTCCAATTTCTCACATTTGTAATAGAAATGTCTATGTTGTACCTGTTCCACCATTGTATTTGGGAAGCAGATAACTAGTATTCTAGATTTAATAGGTACACGGATAAAGAAGAATTTTATCTCAGGATGAAATTTGGATTTGGAGTTCATTTAAGACTTTGGGGATCATATAATGGGGTGAAAGTGTTTTGCATGTGGCAAAGACAGGAATTGGTGGAAGTGGAAGTGTGGAATGCTATGGATTAAATTGTGTCCCCCCACAAAATATATGTCAGCTTGACTGGGCCATGATTCTCAGTTGTTTGGCAGTTACATAATGATGTAAATTTGAAGATATTTAATGATGTAATCATCTCCCATGATGTGACCAGCTCATCATTTGTAAGAGGATTATTATTCAGGTCACAGCCTGATCAGATGTAAAAGGGGTTTCCCTGAGGTGTGGTCTGTTGTTGTTAAGTACCATGGAGTGGGTTCCAACTCATAGTGACCCTACACAGGGTTTCCGAGGCTGTAAATCTTTATGGGAGCAGACCGCCTCATCTTTCTCCCATGGAACCGCTGGTAATTTCAAACTGCTGACCTTGAGGTTAGCAACCCGATTTGTAACCAGTACACCTGTTTCACTTTATTTCTTAGACAAGATAAAGAGAAGAGACAAGAGGAAGAGAGACCTTAGTACTATTAAGATCATGAGCAAGGAACAGGGAGTCTTCTTTTGGATCCTGTGCTAAGAACCTCCTAGATCCATGGGAATATTGATTCCAAGACATGTGGATATCTCCAAGGAATGACAGACCCACAAATGTTGAAAGGAGACAAAGACATTCCCCCACAGAACTAACAGAAAGAGAAAACCTTCCCCTAGAGCTACACCCTGAATTCAGACTTCTAGCCTCCTAAATTTTGAGAGAATAAATTTCTATTTGTTAAAGCCATCCGCTTGTGGCATTTCTGTTACAGTAGGATTGAGGTTGTCAAAAACATTTTGCTTAGATGCATAATCAGCATTCACGGAAGCAGCAGTCAAGAAATAAAATGACATATTTCATTAGGCCAATTTGCTGCACAACATCTTTCTAAAGTGTTAAAGAGCAAAGATGTCATTTTGAGGATTAAAGTGTGTCTGACCCAAGCAATGGCACCTGCAATACCCTCATATGCATGTTAAAATTGGACAATGAGTAAGGAAGATCAGAGAAAAATAGATGCATTTGAATTATGGTATTGGCCAAGAATATTGAAAATACCATGAACTTCCAGAAGAGTAAATAAATCTATGTTGGAAGAAATACAGCCAGAACACTCCTTAAAAGTGAGGATGATGAGATTTCATCTCTCATTCTTTGGACATGTTGTCAGAAGGGATCAGTCCCTGGAGAGTAATGTCATGCTTGGTAAAGTGAAGAATCAACAAAAAAGAGGAAGACCCCCAACTGGATGGACTGACACAATGGCCACAAAGATGGCTCAAACATAACAATGGTCGTGAGGGTAGTGAAGGACCAGAAAGTATTTTGTTCTGCTATGTATAGATTCACTATGAGTCAGAACTGATTCAATGGCACCTAACAACTATAAAAGCACTAGATAACTAAGACAATGATCCTAGACACTGTGCAGAAATTCTTCTAAGAGTACACGTTGCAATCAATACCAATTTCAGGCCCACAAACCCAAATCAGACTATGTTAAGAGTTAAAGTTAGTATTTAATGGTCCATGCCCATCAGCCTAACTCTTCCAGCAGTTCATTGGAGACTACATGGTAGCTTGAAGCATGAAGCAGACAAAGGGTTTCTTGTCATAAGTCTTAGACTATAGTTAGGAAATGGTCAGGGATTACTAAACAGAGTTTGTAGTGCAATATCCACACCTGTAAATTATATAGTCACCTTAGAACCCTGTGTTTACTCCTCAAACTAAGATATCTACTTAGCTCTGCACAATATAAATGAGGAAACTAACGTGAAAAGTCTTGTTCAACTTTTAAATGGTTCTGTAACTGACTTCCAGAGTTGGTTTTATCTGCCCACTCCCCATTTTCTTGTCACCTCTCCCCACCACCATCTTGGGGATTCTTACCGATGATATTACGAATGCAGTTCTCCTTCTTGGCGATGTTCTGGAGTTGGTCTATAAGGGATGCTGTGTTGTCTCTGCTCAGAGGAGTGAGTCCCATGTCCTTGAGGCCTTGATGGATTTCCTGAGACACCTGTTCACTCACACTCAGCATAGCCTCTTCAGGCCTAGACAACGAATAACAGAAAACTAGTACCAGAGTGGCCCTACCATGGATGTAAAACCCAACGAGCCCCAGACTCTGCTGTTCACTGAGCTATTAACACATCTGGGTGAATTATATAAATGAGATTCTGGTTTGTTCTGTTTTAGAAGAGGGAATGCTATCAAGCTCCAAAAGACAATGCACAATCAAAAACTTATGAACTAGCAGTGGCTTTTGGTGCTGTGGGGACAGGGTGAAGCCGCCTGCACCCACAGAGCGCACACCACAGCCCTGAATGCACCACCACCCTTGCCCCCTCAGCTACCCACTCGGAAACTCCGTGGCTTTTGCTTGTGCACTATGCCCTTGGCCACCAGCCACAGCAGAAGCGGCAGCAAGTGTCATCAGGACCGCCACCCCCCGGAGGAGTCCTCTGGGAGTGAGGTGGGGCCGGGGCAGTGGCGCCTGCTTCTCAGCACCTCTATACCGGCACCAGCGCCATCCAGACAGAGGCCATGAAGCAGAATCTTGGGGTATATCGACAAGAGACTTCGGAATCTGGAGAAGAATAAGGGCAAGCTTGATGATTACCAGGAATGAATGAACAAAGGGGAATGGCTTAATCAAGATCAGCTAGATGCAGTTTCTAAATACCAGGAAGTCACAAATAATTTGGAATTTGCAAAAGAATTACAGAGTTTCATGGCATTAAGTCAAGATTTCCAGAATAAAGAAGACAGCTTGTCAAGAGCAGTTTATGCGGGAAGAAGCAGAACAGAAACGTTTAAAAATTGTACTTGAGCTACAATACATTTTGGAAAAACTGGGAGATGATGAAGTACAACTGACTTGAGGCAAAGTTTGAATGGAGTGCCAATATTACCTGAAGAAGAATTGTCATTCTTGGGTGAATTCTACAAATTAGTGGATCCTGAAGTGGACATGAGCTTGAGCTTGAATGAGTCGTATGAACATGCCTCAGTTCACCTGTGGGACTTATTGGAAGGCAAGGAAAAATCTGTATGTGGAACAACCTATAAAGCTTTAAGGAAATTGTTGAGCATGTTTTTCAGTCAAACTATTTCGACAGTACCCACGACCACCAGAATGGTTTATGTGAGGAAGAGGAAGCAGCCTCAGCACCGGCAGTTGAAGAACAGGTAGCTGAAGCTGAACCTGAGCCAGCAGAAGACTACACTGAACAAAGCGAAGTTGAAACAACGGAGTATGTCAATAGACAATTTATGACAGAAACACAGTTCAGCAGTGGTGAAAATGATTAAGTAGATGAGTGGACAGTTGAAACAGTTGAGGTGGTAAATTCACTCCAGCAGCAATCACAGGCTGCATCTGCTTCAGTATCAGAGTCCCACTCTTTGGCTCCAGTGGCTCAGGCAGATACCCTTGTGAGAAGGCAGCGAGCACATGACCTTATGGCGCAAATGCAGGAGCCTTATAATTTCATACAAGATTCAATGTTGGATTTTGAATGCCAGACACTTTATCCCGGGATTACTCTGGCTACCAGTGGGAAGGATATAAGCAGAATTTCAAGTGAGGCTTTGGACAGAGTGGACCATAGGGAGCCCCACAAGGTCGTGGAGGGCCCCCAAGACACAACAGAGGGATGCCGCAAATGAACACTCAGCAAGTGAATTAATCTGATTTACAGAATTATGTTTAATCAGTCACCAAAAGCACACTGGCCAGTGTATCATAATGTTACCAGAAGAGTTATTATCTATTTGTTCTCCCTTTCAGAAAACTTATTGTAAAGGGACTGTTTTCATTCCCATAAAGACAGGACTACAATTGTCAGCCTTATATTACCTGAATATGGAAGGAAACAATTTTTACTCTGCATGTTCTGTCCTAAGCGTCATCTTGAGCCTTGCACATGATATTCTGATTCCTCACCCTTTCTTAGGAATAAAACATATACCTTACAGGTAATCATATCTCCATAGTTTTAAGTGGTTTGGAAAAAACAAGGCTGACTTTTTTTTTAACACTGGATGACATCTACAAATCAGCCCTAATGTTGTTCAGTGGAAATTGACAAAACTAAAATACTTGTCATGAAAGGAAGATGGAAAGAGCTTTTCCAGTTAAATTGAAGCAGTGAACATTTAGACCTATACCAAATTATGCATGGGTCCTTAATAACACATAATAAGGTTGACTACTAGCTTTGACGCTGAACTATTCATCATCTAGTCAAATGACTGTCAAAAACCAAAAAACGTAAATAGCTTTTCAACAGCTGATACTATATAACACAAACCCAAAATGCAAAATTAGGCTTTGATTGGCACTTTTTGAAAAATATGCAACAAATATGGGATATAATCTGGATAACCACTTCTATAGTTAATGTGAAGTATTTGGATACCTTTTGAAAACTTAACAGTTTATTTGACAATGGCTTTTGTAAGGTTTGGTACTTTATATCATTCCTTATGACATGTATATTGTCTGTCACTAATCCTTGGATCTTGTTGTATTGTCACCTAAATAGGTACAGGTACTGATTAAAATCTCTAATAGATAATCATAACACTTTTGGTCACATGTCTTTCTTGCAGCCTGAAGGTTTTTGAAAGAAAAAGATATCAAATGACGGCTGCTGCTACCCTTTTTAAATTGCTATCTTTTGAAAAGCACCAGTATGTGTTTTAGATTGGTTTCCCTGTTTTAGGGAAATGACAGGTCAGTAGTTTTAAGTTTTGGTGGTGTAAATGAAACAAATAAAACATGTTTTAAAAAGTTGAGATAAAAATAACTTATGAGCTAGTAAATTTTTGGCCAGATCCACTCAAAGAGTAATTCCAGTTTCCTACTACCAGTAGATGGAGTTCTGGTATGGTGCTGTAGGATAAGCATTGGACTGCTAACTACAAGATTAATGGTTCAAACCGACCAGTTGCTCCTCAGAAACCTTATACAGGGTCACTATAAATCAGAACTAACTTGATGACATTTAACAACACCAACAATAGACAGCCGGGTCTGGCAGCAAGTACAATACTTTCATTATTAGCCTCAAGGTACCAATTAATCTGTACATATAGTGCAATATTGAAGAAAGCAAAATAAAGTAGACAAGGGTTTGGTTCTTTCATTGAATCTATTCAGTATTCTTTAGTCCCACAAACATTATTTAAATGTTATTTTAAGATTTTTATGGTTCTTTCACATGTTGTTTACCAAACAAATTACAAATATACTAAGAGAATACACTTCTAATTACTCTTTTTACTTTGATAAAATGGCCTGTCCACAGTTGGTGTGCACGTTTAATGACAAACTGATTAACTCCTAGATATACATAATACCAGTCCACTGTCACTCACTCAATTATACAATATCTTATTTGTATCAAATACAGTAAGGACCCATTTGTGGCAAACTAGCCTTCATGCTCCACTCTGGGAAAAAAGTTATTTTTCTCTAGCCCAAGCCACAATGCCACTTATCAAAAGGTGAAGATAACAAAAATGTTACAGATAGTTAAGAGATTTTGTGTGGTTTGTGGTGCTTATACAAAAAAATGCCACATGTAATTTTTCACCCTAAGAAAGAATTCCACCACTCATCTGTCAATGTGTCATACTGTGGTGGTTTTTATGCTGCTGGGATGTTGGAAGCTATGCCACCTGTATTCTGAATGCCAGCAGGGTCACCCATGGTGGACAGGTTTCGCCTGAGCTCCCAGACTAAGACAGACTAGAAAGAAGGATAAGTGGGCCACTTCTGAATGATTGCCCACTGAAAACCTAGGAATAGCAGCAGAACATTCTGTGATATGCCAGAAGAGGAGCCCTTCATGTTGGAAGACACTCAAAATACGAATGGGAAAGAGCTGCCTCCTCAAAGTAGAGTTGACCTTAATGATGTGGATGGAGTTATGGTTTTGGGACCTTCATTTGATGATGTGGCCCAACTCAAAATGAGAAGAAACTGTTGCAAACATCCATTATTAATCCAAACGTGGAATGTACAAAGTATGAATCTAGGAAAATTGGATGTTGTCAAAAATGAAACTGAATGCATAAAGGTTGATATCCTAGGCATTATGGAATCCTGGTATAGTGCTGTAAGATCAGCACTGGACTGAGAACCACAAGGTCGACAGTTCAAACTCACCAGCTGCTCCTCAGAAACTCTCGATATGGGTTAGAAGAGACTTGATGGAACTTAACAACAATAACAAGAAAGTGGGCTGAACTGGACTGGTATTGGCCAATTTGAATCAAACAATCATATGGTTTAATATGCTGGGAATGTAAAATAGAAAAATAATGGCTTCATATTCATCATTTAAAAGAACATTTCAAGATCTATCTCAATGTACAATGCTGTCCTGTGATAGGATAATATCCGTAAGGCTACAAGGAAGATCAGCTAATACAACCAGTATTCAAGTTTACGCACCAATCACTAAAGCCAGCAATGATGAAATTGAAGAATTCTATCACTCTTAAGTCTGAAATTGATCAAATATGCAATCAAGATGCATTAATCATTACCAATGATTGGAGTGCGAAAGTTGGAAACAAAGAGGAAGGATCCATAGTTGGAAACTATGGCATTGGTGGTAGAAATTATGCAGAAGATCACAGTATAGAATATAGAATTTTCAAAAATTTTTCAACAATATAAAAGGTGATTGTATACCTAGCCCTCAAATTGACAACATCTGTGGGGAAAAAAATTGGAGAAATTCAATGCAAAGTCAAAACAAGACCAGGGCAGTGGAACAAATCACCAATGCAAGTTTAGACTGAAGCTCAAGAAAATTAAAACAACTCCATGATGGTCAAAATATGATCTTGAGTATATGCCACCTGAATTTAGAGACCATTTCAAGAACAGATCTCGTGTATTAGACACTAATAGCCAAAGACCAAAGGAGTTGTGGGATGACATCAAGAACATCATATAAGAAAAGAGTAAAAGGTTGTAAAAATAATAATAATAAATAAAAACAGGAGAGGAAAAAAAAAAAAAGAGCACAGTGCATGTCAGAAGAGACTCTGAAATTTGTTCTTGAGCAAAGCAACTAGAAGAAATGATGACGTAAAATAACTGAAAAGAAAAATTGAAAGGCAGTTTGAAAAGATAAAGTCAAATATTATAAAGAAATATGCAAAGACATGGAGTTAGAAAACCAAAAGGGAAAAACATGTTCAGACTTTCTCAAATTGAAAGAACTGAGGAAAAATAAATTAAGCCTTGGGTTGTAATATTGAAGGATTCTATCGGCACTGTGGGTTAATGTGCTAGACTGCAAGGTTAATTTGAACCACAAGATCAGCAGTTCAAACTTACTAGCCACTCCTCGGAAACCCTATACAGGATAACGGTGGGTCGGAATCTACTCAATGGCACTTAAATGAGCAAAATATTGAATGTCACTGGAAACATCAAATTAGAAGGAATATACAGAGGCACTGTACAAAAAAAAAATAAAAAATCAGTCAATGTTCACTCATTTCAAGAGGTAATATATGATCAAGAACCCATGATATTGAAGGAAGAATGCAAGCGGCACTGAAGGCATTAACGAAAACAAGCCTCCAGGAATTGGTGGACTACCAATTGAAATGTTTCAACAAACTGATGTCATTTTGGGGTCCTCATTCATCTATTCCAAGACATTTGAAAGACATTTACCTGGCCACCTGATAAGATGAGATCCATATTTGTTCCCATCCCAAAGAAAGGTGATCCAACAGAACACAGAAATCATCAAACAATATCATTAATACCATATGCAAGTAAAATTTTTCTGAAGATAATTTAAAAATTATTGCAGCAGTAAATCAACAGGGAGCTTCCAGAAATTCAAGCCAGATTCAGAAGAGGATGTGGAATGGGGGATACCTTTGCTGACGTCAGATGAATATTGACTGAAAGCAGAGAATACCAGAAAGATATTTACTTGTGCTTTATTGACTATGCAAAATCATTCAACTGTGTGGGTCATAACAAATTATGGATAACTTTTGGAAGAATGGATATTCCAGAACATTTATTCAAATTCATGAGGAGACTGTACATAGACCAAGAGACAGTCTTTCTAACAGAACAATGGTTATATCCTTTTACCATACTTATTCAATCTGTCTGCTGAGCAAATAGTCTGAGAAGTTGGATTACATGAAGAAAAACATGACATCAGGATTGGTATAACAGTTATTAGCACCTGTGATATGCAGATGATACAACTATGCTTGCGGAAAGCTAGGAGGACTTCAAATACTTACTCATGAAGATCAAAGACTACAGCCTTCAGTATGGATTGTACCTCAGTGTAAAGAAAATGAAAATCCTTACAACTGGACCAATAAATAACTTCAAGATAAGTGGAGAAAAGATTGAACTGTTAAATTTTTAAAATTTATATGGATGCAAAATCAATACGCATGGAAACAGTAATTAAGAAATCAAAAGACGTATTGTGTTAGGCAAATCTAAAGCAAGTCTTCAATAGCAAAGATGTCACTTTGAAGACTAAGGCATGCCTGACCAAAGCCATGGTATTTTCAACTGCCTCATATGAATGTGAAAGTTAGTGAATAAGCAAGACCATAAAATAATTGATGCTATTGAGTTATATGGTGTTGGGGAAGAATATTGAAATGGACTGCCAGCAAAGTAAATAAATCTGTCTTTAAGAATTAAAACCAGAATGTTCTTTAAAAGCATGGCAAGACTTTGTCTCTTACACTTTGGACATATGATCAGGAGGGACAAATCCCTGGAGAAGGATAGCACACTTGGTAATGTGGAGTGTTAGTAAAAAAGAGGAAGATCCCCAACAAGATGTATTGACATTGTAGCAGATACAATGGGCTCAAATGCAACAATTGTGAGGATGGTGCAGGACTGTTCAGTGTTTTGTTTTGTTATGTACAGGGTCACTAGGAGTCAGAACTGACTCATTGGCACCTAACAACAAGAAAGATCTATGACACTTACCTGAAGTTAAATTCCTCTATCAGAGCCTTGGTTATGCATTTCAATTTATCCACAAACTCAGGTGAACTAAATAAAACGTTCCCAGATAAACTTCTGGCCACTAGCAAGACAGAAGCCAAAATGGTTAACTGCTTCAACTGAAACGCCATCTCTTGTAGCCTCATTCTGTCCATCAACAAAGTCTGGTGAGACAGGGAAGAGCAGGATGTCAAGTGAGAAGGAAAGGCTTGAACACACAAAAAATTAGGAAATACCCCAACACACAGTCCTACCTCAGGGAACTCTTCATCTGCTGGGTCCCAGAGAAGGAGGTTCAGATAGCTCTGGTGTAGCACCATTGTGGGACTGGGTAGCTCTAAGCTAATAACTTTCCAATGTGAAGATGAACAGGCCATGCTGGAGGTGCTGGAAGGGACAGAAGAACTCAGAGGTGGTGTGGTGAGGTCTGTTGCTGTTTTGGTTAGCCACTTGATGGTATAATCAAGGAGATCTATAACAGATAATGAAATATATCTAAGTATCTTCCAATTCCAAGACTTGAAGATTAATGCTTTATGGCGGAGGCCATGCCATCAAGAAACTGAATGGTGGGAGAACATGCGCATGAAAAGCTCATTGTTTTAGCAAAGCGACAATGAATGTCTCCTTGGTTGGCAAAGCCATAAGGAGAATTCCATGCAAAGGCCCTGTAGTTCCTGTGTTTTTCCTTTTATGAATTGTTCATTTTTTATTTTTCTTGATTTTATTATAGAAGTTTTCAGTAGACTTTTCAATAATTATATTAAAATTACATTTAGACACTTTCATACCATATTCAATCACATATAGTTATAAAGATTGCTTTTTACAGTAACAATAAGTTTCACCAGTAGGAAAAACCACATCAGTTAAAGCATTGCCAATTCAAGTTTAAGATTACAATCAACATTCTGTGTAGTTTCAGTCAGGGACATTAAGACCTCTAGAAAATTAGCTAAGACGCAATTAAGGGCTGTAGGAACACGTAAGAATATAAGTAGAAATTTAACTAGTGTGGGGAAGCTGTTCTATTTATTCTTAACTATAAAACTTTAGGTACTATTATGTTATTGTTTTTATTGTTAAATCAATTATGAGTAACTGATATGTATGACCAGTTACGGTAAAAATAATGTTTTGATTATGAATTGTGATTAATGAATCTTTAGAAAATAACAGGTAGGGTAGAAATAGGAGTTAAGATTTAGAACTTTGTTTGAAGGTTAACTTGACATTTTAGGGAGGATTAGAGAATAACAAAATCACTTAGAGATGTTAGCAAGGTAGTTAGGGAGTACGAGGAAGCAAGATATGAAAAGATCAAGGAAAATATTTTGATGTTCTTTGATGTAACTTGAAGGCTCAGGAATCAAAAGAAAATGTAATCATGAAATAGATTATAGTTTAAAGGAATTGATTACTATGAAGTCATTGTGTATTGTAACGGTATATAAAGAGCTGAAAAAATAAGTAAAAAGAGCAACATCTAAGACTCAAAACGACCCATTGACTCTGTGTAATTCATTTCGCTGACTCCACAACCCCCCTTCAAGAGCCCCCTAATAATTTGTGGAGAATGGTCCCTGGCAGCTTTATTTAAGAGATACTCTTGACCAGTAAAGAAGTGCCTTTTGTAGGTCCTTCAGTCTTAGACAAATGCTCTTTCTTCCTATTCTTTACCTAAGAATTTTTCTATTTAAAAAAGAAAATGTTTCCTAACATTGTATGAAATCAGCCCTAATGTCAAATCTTCCCTCTCCTGCTCTTAAGTTTTAAACATACTGGGATGCTTGTTGAGAAGTTCTTGAAATTTGGCTCGTTCATACTCGATGGAATGTTCCTTCAGGTATGGTCGAAGGCTCCGGATAGTGTAGTTCACCATGTCCATTTGCATCAGGCCCAAAACATGGAAAATACCCCTGTCATAGGGAGAAATGAAGTATTTACATTATGAAATGAAATCATATGTGGAGGAGTATAATCCAAGCAAGGAGTCTTAAAATCATAGCATATCAGAGTTAAAGTGGCCTTCTAACTCATTAGAGTTAATAAAAGTCCTACTTCAATTTAAAAATAAAGACACTAGGGATAGATAAATATTCTGTCCTTTTAGTTACCAGTCTATAGCTGTTTCCACTGTAGTAAATGTTGTCTCAGAAGAGTACTCAATGGAAAGGAAACCACTAAAATGATGATGACTTTCTGTGGGTAGTTGGATTTTAGGCAAGTCGATTCATTTGGAAAATCATTTTATCTGTTTTAGTCTTGATTCTTCTAGCTTTGAAACAGGAATAGTTCCCATTACTATCCTCTCACGGGGTTTGAGTCAGGGCAAAAAAGGATAACACTTAGGGAAGGCTATCAGAAATGTCGAGAAGGAAGGATTATTGTACTCTGTCTTAATGGTATTATGTTACAGTAGGGGGCCTGCGAAACTGTCATTAGAACTGTCATTAGAAAATAAAAGCCAATAATCTAGGGAAGAGAAAAGAGATGCTACGTCTTCAGTACAGAAGAGCTAGACAAGACAGGGGTCCAGAGTTTTCTGATGTATTGTCTGAAGCAGATTTCAGAGGCAGTACACCTAGTTTCTCACTTCAATAAGTTCACAGGATCTGGTATATTCTCTAGTTTCCGCACTGCTTCATCTCGAACTGGGGCACACAAAAGTTTCATTAAATTAACAATGTAGTTAGAGAGACGAGGGACATCCAGGGCCCCATGCTCTGCTTCCTGCTTGAGAAGATCCATGTCCAGTGCTTCTTCAATCTCATTTCTTAGACGATTGTGCCATGGTAACAGCAGTGACAGAAAGCTCTGCCCAAAAAAGGAAATCAAATGAGCCAAATTATTTATAGAGTCCCAAACTTTCTCCACTGATCACCCCCTTAAGCCAAAGACATTCCAGTCTATGTCCACTGGAGATCAGGAAGCTGAGTCTCTAAACTTCTATGAGAATACAATTTATTTCTGTTTAGGGCTCAGTTATAGCAGTGGTGCCATTATTATTTTCTAGACAGAGTGAAATAAAGATGTGACCAAAAATAAGAGTGTGTGTTAAAAAGAATAGCAAAGTATAAAAATAAATAAACAAAATGCACAAGGCCTCATGGTGATGAGGCATCTTAATAAAGGAAAAGGACATTTTTGTTTTTGTTTTTGTTTTTTTTTTAACTTCAAATGGTGAGAATGAAATAGGCAAAAAGAAACATTAAGGGTCACTTGAAATAGCCTTTTTACTAAAAAAATATTTGGGGGCAAAAGTTCTTTTCTTTATTTCTGTGCTCTGACAACACAAAAGGCAAAGTGGGAATTCAGTGAAAATTTGTTAAAGTGAATATATTAGTTTCTTATGGCAAGCTTCCAACTGTTAAGCTTCATCACCTATGAATAAATGGAAGCTGCTACATACTATCTAAATAGTAGGCCATGCTCAGAAAGAAAGTAGGCTACTTAGGATATTGGTAGCTACTGACACTCTAAGACTCAGAGTATGCCCAGGAGCTTCATATCCACAAATGGAAGACTGGTTACTCACAATTTTAATTTCTTTTAAAAGATCAAGAGCACAGGTGAAGTCAGGTGGTATATTTGATAGTTGTTCTTTCAGATGGTCCCAAAAAGCATTGTGCATTGTCTCCATCAACTTGCCTTCTGGACTGTAAACATGTTAAATGAGCCAATAGGTATTTACTAAGGGAATTGATATAGTCATAATCATCTACATAATAAACCATTTAATATCATGAAAGGCCATTAAATTGACATACTGGGACCTATGTTTCAACTTAAGCAGAATTGAATAAATAGGGTAATCTCAGATACAAAAGCATTAGCCAAATCTCCTCAGACAGACACATCATGGTTCCAGAGAAGTTTTCTTGTCGCAACAGAGAAGAACCTAGAACTTGGAGTAGAGTTCCATAGTTATACCCCTGGTTCTGCATCTAATATAGCATACTTAACTCAATAAAAATTCCAGAGAATTTGAGTTCCATTAGTCCTAGGATAGACTCCTACTGTGGCACTGAATGATCAGCACTGGACTGTGAACTACAGGGTTGGCAGTTCAAACCCACCAGTTGCTCCTTGGAAACCCTATACATGGTCACTATGCATTGGAACCAACTCAACAGCACTTAACAACAACAATAGTACCAAGGTAATCTCCTAATCAAGTTCACTTTTTAGAGGGGTAGATCATAGATTACACACCTAAGTGAACAGATTCATATCCTTACTTTGGAAGTGAGGTACACACAAAAAAGTGGAGGAATGAATCATTTAAGGATTCTAATCTTGTGACTGCATAGTCTCAAATTAAGGAAGATGCTAGGAGGCCTGTCTTTTGATGAAAACTTCCTTCATAGATGCTGTGTTTGGTAGAGATACTTTCTGGCAAAAAGCAAGGGCAAATCTAAGAAGTGTGAGGATAGAGCTCCTAGAAGAGAAGGGTGTTTTAATAACAGACAAAAGTTACTAAAGGGGTCAAATAAGAAGCAGTAAAGCCTGGAAACTAAAAATGCTATAAAATATATATTCTGACAAATAAATTTATCCATTTTGTGGTTGTTGTTAGGTGCCATCGAGTTGGCACCGATTCATAGTGACCTTATGCACAGCAGAACGAAACAATGTCCGATCCTGGGCCAAGCTCACTACTGTTGCCACAGTTGAGTCCATCGATGCTGCCACCTGGCCAATCCATCTCGTTGGGGGGTCTTCCTCTTTTTGTCTGACCCTCTATCTTACCAAACATGATATACTTCTCCAGAAACTGTTCCCTCCTGACAATATGTCCAAAGTATGAGAGACGAAGTTTGGCCATCTTGGCCTCTAAGGAGCACTCTGGCTGCACTTCTTCCAA